AGAGTCAACCCTCTGCACTTAGTGAGATGAGTCTGGGCAGAGGTTGGTAACTGAGGGCGTAATAATTTTGAAGAAGTGGAGAAGGCAGAGCCCCCGGGGAAAATGAAACAACTGAGCAGAGACAGAGAGAAGCCTTGAGAAGTACCTGTCACAGCTGAGGAAGAGGACAGCGCCCAGTAAAAGAAGCTGAAGAGGTCAGATGAAGAAAGAAAAGCTAGAAATGGGAGGTCACAGGTAATCTTGGCCAGAACAATTTCAATAGAAGTCAAGCCAGACTTGGTGCGTGAGTTGACACAAGAGCCAGCAATTACAGATGAGTTTTCGAGACACTTGGTGAGTAAAGGAAGAAAAGGGACTGGGGAGGCAGCAGCACTGCGGGCTGGGGTGATGTTAAGAGTAAAAGGACAGAAGGGTTTGGGGTCGGGATGAAGACAACTGAGGAAGCTGGTGAGCGAGGCCATAATAACCAACAGCGCACCAAGTGGGGTTGGGAGAGACTGAAGCTGGAGATGGAGAGCAAGGCGCCATGAGAACTGCAGAGCAGAAGTGACAGATAGGGAAGGCGGTGGTCAGGCAGGGCGGGTGTTCAGAGCGGCAGGAAGCAGTGGCCAGCCCTGGGGGCAGAGGTACAGAGGCCGTGAAGGGCAGGGAAACACAGAAGGTGGAGCGACAGAGTGGCCAGTGGGCAGGTCAGCAGGGAGGCTGCTGAATCCATGAAAGGGAAGGAGGACGGGTGTTCGATGGAGACCCTGTGCCAGAGTGTTCAGAGATGGCCAAGAGCATCCGGGTTCCTGACAGGCGTGGGTGCACCAGGCACCTCAGCTCCAAGGGAGGAGGAGCTTCCAAGGGCCCCAGGATATGGAACAGCAGTGTGTACAGAAAGGCAGGGTGGCTTGTGGAGAAAGCAGTGTGGGAGACAGGCCTAGGCTTCCAGGAAAGCCTGCAAGGAGCAGGTTAAGGATGACGGATGTTAGGGAGTTTCTTGGCAGTGGAGCCAGGACTGCAGAGAGCGAGGTTGGTGGAAGGGATTAGTAGGGGGCCTGGCAGGAGGAAGGGGAGCTGGATTGGATGAGAATGAAAGCCAGACCTACACGTGACCAGAGGAGGGGTCCCATCTCCTTTGGGGCCTGACAGGGAGGCAAGGCAAGCCAGTGGTCCACCCCGAGAAAGTCTCCATTTCTGGGAGGCCAGGAGTAGCCCACTTATCTGCTGCCTCCAGTGGACCTGCAAGCAGAAAGTGGTCCCTTTAGTGTGGTTATAGCCACTGGCAGAAAAAGTGAGTGCCACAGACAGGGCGACAGGCAAAACTGATCTTGGCCTTGCCAAAGGAGGACAGAGCCTCAAAAGGAGCAGAAGAGGAAGTGAGAGAAGACAGAGGGACCTTATAAAGCCTCCTTTATCACCTTCCTGTGAGGGTGTAAAAGGGTATTTATGTTCATAATCCTAAAAAGCCTGCCATAAATGAAAGCACAGGCTTGTCTCAACACGTTCTTCCTCATGGTGGCTGGATCTGGGTAGGCAACACTTTTGTAAAGCTCAGAAATACAGTTCAGGCACAAGGAGGGCCTAGGTCTAATTTATCTGATTCATCCTGCAGTAGAGAGGCCAATCAAAGCAGTGGGAGAGAAGAATTTATATATGCCCCTCAGGCCCCAGCATGCCACTCCCTTCTCCATCAGAGAACACAAGCATCTCCTTGCCAGTAGGAGTCTTTCCCCCACCTTCAAACCTGATGGAAAAACTGCTTCTAAGGGGTGATGCTGTCAGTGGAGGGCCTTGGAAAATTAGAATCTGAGAGTAGCCTGCATACAAGTCCTGAGGCCAACCTTGGAAATATGCAAATGTAAGACAGGGTGCTAGGGGTGCCAGGGCTGAGCTCCAGGGCTAAGTGAGCTAAGCTCTCAGCCTGCCTCCCCTTTCTGCCTTTATTTTTATCTGTGGGATCAGGCGTATTGGAGAGAAAAAGAAGAGGCCTGGTAACAACAGCTTCCTCGTCATTCTTGGTTACTTACATCTGTGGTCAATTTTCCACACTTTATTCCATAAAAGGTAAACGAGGCACGGTACTTGCAACAGGATAATCTAAACAATATGAACCATGTTACTGTTAAAGACCATCTGGCTGATCACGCCCAGGCCCAGGCTTTTAACTCCTTGAGGTAAGAAAGATGCCAAACCCAGAGAGGCCCAGGCCCTCCTCCGGTATCTGACTTCAGAATGCTTTCCTCCCTCTTCAAGTCAATTAAAACTGCTGCCTCTGAGCCCTCTGCCAACTCTAATATTCTCTCTGATTCTAGGCTGGCTTTCGATGAAACTCTGCAAGCTTGTGAATGAGCGACTTGTAAAATGTTTTTACCAAATGCCTCTTCTTTTTCTTTAAAAGGAAACATTAAAAGCTTGAGGAAAAAAAAAAAAAGAAGAAACGTTATATACAACCCAAACTAAAATACTCTCAAGTGCTGGGGTTGTTTCCTTCATTTCTGATTCTCCCACTTCAAGGCAAGGGATCATTTACATAATCTTAATTTCAAAAAGCAATTGACACCAGTGAAGAAACAGTGAGCCCATGCTTTGCTTTTATTTGGGCTTACACATTTTCTAGCCATCTGTTATCCAAGAAAGTTGGAAACTCAAATAAGAGATGGGAAAATTGTAAATCAGATGGTGTTTTTCATCCTTTGGGTGGGGAGCTAATGATAAGAGATTCCGGGAAAGTTTCAGATGGGTAAGGTCATTCCCAAAAATGGAACTTGGCCTTGCTCTGAGGTACAGCATTCCCACCTGCACAAGGAATTCAGCCTTTGACCTAGAAGTTCAAGTGTTTTATTCTTCAAGTTGGTCACTAAGAACGCTAGCTTCCCCCAACTCCCTATATGGGTATTAAAACCATCAAAAACAGCTCAAATTAATGCATCTTCTAATTTTTTAGTCATGTCTTGCCACATTCCATTGAGGGTGCGTCTTCCAGTATCATAGCTACCACAGAGCCCTCGTTTCTGTGTAGCCACAGGGCAGATCTCAGCAGCCAGTGTTTGGGCAAGGGTTTTCACAGGTCATGGGAGACAGCAAGCTCAAGTAAGATGACTAACCCTCACTTCGAGAAGGCTGCCTAACACCCACTGTGCTAGAACTACCATTATTTCTCCCCTTTTAAAGATAGTCGAGAAGATCTTGATGGGACAGACAAACAAGGATGACACAAATCCTAAGGGAAGAGCCAGGTGCGGTGGAGCATGCCTGTAATGCCAGCAACTGGGGCGGCTGAGGCAGGAAGACTGCAAGTTCAAGTCCAGCCTGGGAAACTCAGCAACTTACTGAGACCCTGTCAAAAAATTTTAAAAGGGCTAGGGCTGGAGCTTGTACAAAGTCTTGGGTGCAATCCCCAATACCACACACACACACACACAGATATTAATGGAAGGAAGACCAATTGGTGTAATATACACAGGACAGAATGCAGCTCTTCCATTTTCAAAAGACTTTGAATTCCACAGGCCCAGGTGAATGGCTGCTTTTCTGTCTTGCTCTGTTGGCTTGCCAAACAAACTTCAACATCCTTATTCCCCACATCCACTGTGCAAGTTTCCTCTTGTGGATGCACAGGGCAGACTACAGTGAAGGAGTCCATGGTCCAGCAGAGCCCATGGGAGGCCAGGCTTCATATCCCATGATCAAAAATCTCTTTCAAAGCAAGTTGCACTCAATTCTACTATGGCTTCCTGAATTCAGCATTCATCTTCAATTAGACAAATGACATTCACATCTCTTTAGACTCTCATTTCCCAGTGCATTTATCTCTTGAAATGACAACTGGAAAACACCCCCGGCCTAAACATGTACATTATTTTTAAAAAGGGTTAATGAACCAGGCTAAATAACTTAATAGGCCCTTTATTGGAATTCACTTTTAATATAAATCCTTAGACATCTGCGAGCAATATTTTTAAAGAGACAGGCAAGGAAGAAAATGAGAGAGAAAAGCATGAGTTAATCTTTATTCAACTGTAATAGTAACTTCACACCCCAAACAAATGTAGGAAAAATTTCATGTTACTTGAAAATGATTTTATTATAAGCTTCTCCTACTGGATAGTGATCACAATGCACCCTATTGCTGTCTGCCTTCCCCTTTGGAGAAAGGGATCCCATCTCTCTTGTGATTTTGGTCAAACAGACAGGTGTCTCCACTATAAACTAGTATCCTTACCTCTGTGAAGACCCAGGCTGTAGCCAGAGTGGGGAAAGTTGGGAATTTCCAGCTGCTGGGTTTGAGTGATTGGTTAGAGGTCGGAGTTGGAATGCACAGCAGATAGAAAAAGTCCCAAAGGACAAGCAAGACACAGGGGCCAAGCAACGATGGCAGCAGAGGGAGTAGCAAGAGTCACCCAAGTCAACAGGGGTGACACGAGGCCAGCGGCAGGGTCAGTCTTGGGGGCTCTTGACCAGGGGAGCCTCCGGGAGGCTTAGCAGGTGGGAGAGCCCTGGCCTGGGGCTGGTGGGGATATTTAATGGAACGGGGATGTTCTCGGGCACACTAGAGGGCTGGAAACAAGAGACAGACACACCAGGGAAAAGCCTTGGATTCTGGAGACCTCTGTCTGACTCTAAGCTGCCAAGTTCTTCTCTCTTAAAAGTGAGATGGGTCCCATGGCCATGAGGTAGCCTTGAAGCTTCTTGCTTGATCTGGAGGTAGGAGTTGAATGCACACAGTGATAAATAGCTCAAGCCTGTGACTGGGAGGATGTGGGCAGGGGTGACAACCAGAATATTCAACAATGGGTAATAACTGGGCACTGGCCAGTGAGACGCCAGAGCAGAGTCTGGAGGTGCCTGCCCTGGCTTGATGTATGTGTGTGTGTGTGTGTGTGTGTGTGTGTGTGTGTGTGTGTTGAGGGAAGCACTGGGCTCAGGAGGGGCAAGGTCATCTGCACAGGCTTGGGGATCTGGCAGGGGATCAGCTGTTTACCAATCAGTGCAAAAATAAATTGCTGTGAGTCAGTTCTGGAGCAGGGGCAGACAGGTTTTCAACATCTGCAAAAGGGATATTGCTTAAGAAAGGAAAATAAGGCTGAGGGCGGAGCCAGGAGAAACTTCTTTTGGTCAAATCTCTCAATAAATATTTGTGTTGCTGATAAAAGTTTGTGCATTTGCAATTAGGAATCGCACGACTTTGTTCTTGTGGTATGGTTGAGGGAAACAAGGGTTGCAAAATTCTCCAACCTGTAGGACAGGTTTGGGTTTCTTTTCAGAGGTGAGGTGAAGAGGTAGCTTTTGAAGAACTCTTTAGGGTAACTCATTTGACAGCTGTCCAACTGATCTGCACAGGACTACCCTCTGTTAGAGCTGTACATGATCTTTCTTTTCCCCCATAGAGAAAGATATAAGGGAATAAATGCAAAATGTCGAGTCATTAGGGAATACATTAAATATACTAATGAGTAGGGTAAGTAAGGAGGTCGAGGCAGGATCCATATCAGATTCAGGAAAGGGATAAGGCTCCGTGTACAGGCAGCATGAGCAACCAAGACTGCACGTTAGGGCGGGCCAAGGCGAGGAAAGGCGCAGAGTTCACCCCAAGAGGAGACTTTCCCCCTCATCAGAAATGAAGGAAATAGTTGCTGGAGCTGGCTTCTCTCAAATATCAAATGTTTGGAAATTAACTAAGCCAGTATTTAATTAGAGCTATGATTAAAACTTAAAATATTAATTTGCAAATAAGTAACTTATAGCAGTCCCCTCACTTTTTCCTGGCCGGGGTGGTTTACACTCCAAGACCTCTTTGGATGCCTAAAACCAGATAGCACTGAACCTTACATACAAAATATCAATACTGTGAGAGTCAATCCGATAACCAAGACAAGTAAATGCCTAACAGGTGGGTAGTGCATACAGCATGAACACACTGGACAAAGGGGAACACTGAGTGGAACAGCACTAGAGTTCATCATGCTACTCAGCCCAGTGTGCAATGCAGACCATAAATTATTTCTAAAATTTTCCATTTAATATTTTCAGGTCATGGCTGGCTATGAGCACCTGAAACTGTGGAAGGTGAAACTGCTGATGGGGGAAATACTGTACACTTAAAAAGAAAGACAGTGAGTACTCAAAACTCATTACTTATACTACTTTATTATTATCATCTATGTTCCTGAGATTATGTTATTGTTATCTAGCTGGTGGAAGTAGCACACAATGGTGTGTTACTGTGTTTCTCTTCCCAATTTTATGTCCAGCACAAAACTGGTGATGGGGGGGCATTTATATCTTACAAATTGGCAAACATTGCAAATCAGGGCTAGATTCCTTGTTTCGTTGATTATTTCAAAGTGATGGAGAAAATGTCAAGGCAGATTAAACTAAAAGTGAGTTGTGTTTGTAGTCACTATATTGTTTTTTTGGAGGGGGACTGAGTTAAGGTCTCCTTAGACAGCCCAGGCTGGCCACAAGCTCATGGTGATCCTCTTGCCTCAGTCTCCGGAGTGCTGGGATTACACGTGTGTGCCACCACACCTGGCAGGTCGCTATATCATTAATAATATCATAAAAAGAAGAAAATAACCTTTCAGTATACAAAAACTGTTACAAGATATGGCATAGAAGGTACCCAAGTCTCACATGAAACAAGGGAAGTTCTAACCTGCTCAGTGGTGAAACTGAAAGAGGTTTCAGTTTAATGAATATCATATGCATAAAGGTGAAAAATAGTTTGGAGGATCACATATCAGATTTAATGACAATAAATTTATTGGGAAAGAATGAGTGGGTTGGAATGAAATTTCAGTGTCAAATCATGGCTAGATTGCAGTTCCAGGTTAGCTATGGCTACAGGAGCTCAACAACAACAACAAAAATCATCAAAAGCACTTTGTGAGAACCTGCTCTTTGCACAGAATTTATAATAAGGGTATTGGATAGTTTATTATTTGTGAATTGTGTGACACATCTTTTATATCAGTGAAATTAGAGTAAATGTGCATCCCTACACGTACTTTTTTCCTGGAAAGCTAGTTGATAAACATTTGTGAGTAGCAACTGAATAGAGTGTCTGCACACTCATGCCTTGGGGAGCGGTTTATTCTCCCCAGCCTTTCTATGAAGCGTTAGTGCTTTCAAAACTCTGCCCCTGACCAGGTACTAAATGAACATCCAATGCGCACTCCCTACCAACCCACAACTTACTCCTTCCCCACGGGCCTGGAACGCCTTTTGTTTTCATTCACTTAGCATATAATGCCCATATTGGCTTTACAAGTTACATTTTTAAAATTTATGACCCATCTCAATTTAGATAGTCGCAGGAGCTTTTCCCAAAGCTTTAAAGATGCTTGTACTGACTAGGCACTCAAAACTGTATTCACTTAATCAGTTAGCCGGTCACCTCGCAGTCACAGTGTGACCTCAGTACCAGACGTGGCGATAACCAGGGTGCTCACACATCTCACAGCAATGAGGGTGACGGTAAGGTAAGGTGGGGATGGTCAAGACCTTGAGTACCAGGTATGTGCCAAATGCCGTGCCAGGACCTTGCACATAATACTTGGCTACACCAGTGTGTCCGTGCTCCAGAGGAAGGACCTTGCAACCTACCTCTGTCGTCTCAGTCCTCAGGCTCCTACCCTGACCTGACTTAGTAACGTTGAGCACCCTCAAGTGTGCAGGAATGAAGGACCAAGTGGCCTGATGTAAGCATTTGGTTATCTGTCCTCTGGGACTCTTCTTCATCCTTCTTGTCTTTTTTCCTTCCTTTCCTATGGGGAACTCCATGAGGGAAAGGAAACTGAAGAGGCCTGAACATGGTATAAAAAACGAAATCACTTTCCTAAGATTTGCTGTAATCCACAAATGCCTAATACACATGGCTGAAGACTTGACCTCTGCCCAACTTCTCTGCCCACCATTGTCATTGCTCTGGACACTTCCCCATCCCTTCCTAGAGGGCACTGGGTACCACTTACAGGCTTCCTCTGCAGGCGACACTTCTCCCGGGATGAGGGAGCCTTCGAGAAGAAGACACAAGGCTGGAACTGCCCCTCATGCTCTGCTGCCCCCTCCACGCATGTCACAGCACAGGGGACACAGAGGCCCCTGGACAGAACCTGGCAGCAACTTCCTCCTAACCACTGCCCTTCACCTTTCTCAAGAGAATAAAAGGGAGAAGCACAGTAGCTCTAAGTAAAGTGCTGACGGAAAAGCTTACAACTTATATCTGCCAACAGACGTTACCTTCTAACTTTATTGTGCTTTTCTGATGTCCCACAAGACAAAGTTTCGAGACAACTGATTTTTTAACTCTTTGAAGTGCTGAAACTTGCTTTTCAAAAATGAGTCTGCTGTAGTAGAAAATATTTCTAAGGCAAATTAAGCCCATTCTTGTCTTCATCTATTGAAGACTACCTACACCCTAACCTTCGCCTCCTCCTCGCTGCTGCTCACCGCTGATTTGCTCTGAGGTAACCAGGTATTCACGTCAATGGTTTTGTTTTCTTGTCTTAGGAAAGGATTTGAGCAGAGTCATGAAGACAAATCAGACTTCAACAGGCGGGGGGCAGGGGGACGAAAGCCAAGGGGAGGCCACACAGGGCAGTAGATCTCACATCAGATTTAATGGCAATAAATTGTTGACCAGTTTCATTACCTCATGCTATCAGAGTCTCTGTTTCAGCTTGGTTAGCTAATACACCAAGGAGCTATAAATAATGTTCCAGAAAAATGACACATTTTAAAATAATAATTACATTTCCTGTCTTATTCAATATTTCTACTGTATTAAAATGAAAAAGCTTGTCCTATTAGTGTGGTTTTTCACTTCATTTCTGATCCTGTTTTTTTCTTTTTTTGCTGTGCTTTAGCTTTATTATTTTGTTTCTTTTGTAAGTTCTGTAATATGCAACTTCAGAGCCTTTTATTTCAGACTAAATAAGTCACATCTATTCAGTCCCACTTCTACTTCCCCTTTTCTCTCCCTTCCCTCCCCGCCCGGGCCACCCCAGAATGTCAATTTCTCTCCCGTTACCCCGCACCCCATGGTCCAGGTTGCAACCTCTCACCTGGGCTGTTGAAAGAGCTTCCCAGCCTGTCTGCTTCCTCCAGGACTTGTCCAGCTCCACACAGGGACCAAAGGGTCTTGTGCCAAGGCCAGGCAGTGGTCAGAGCATGGGCTCTGGAGGCTCAAGACAACCTGGGTATACCCTGGCCCCTTCGTGAACATACTGTGTCCCTAGGCCAGCTGCTGGGGTCATCTCTGGGCCTTGGTTTCCCCAACTGGGAAATGAACATGTTAATAGTGCCCAATTCATATGGATGCTCTCAGTATTAAATGAGACAATACACGTTTATTGTCCAACATTTATGTTGGAGTGCTGCTAAGCACATAAGCTGGCTTAGAAAAATCTTTGAAAATATATATCCAGTTGCTTAAAATCCATTTAAAACCCCACTGTCCAGCCCTGGACTAAAAGGGGCCTGAGGATCAGGAGCTGGCTCAGTCCATTCGACTCCCATACACAGCATGCTCCAGTCATACACTAGTTTTTGGATGTTGCCCAAAGCCACTAAGCAATTTTGCACCTTGGGGCCTTTGCATGTGCTGTTTCTGCTGACTGATTTCTTCATTTGGCTCTGCTTGATTAATGAACCATTCCGCAGTCCTCGAGCAAAACGTCATTTCCAAATCTTAGAGACCCTGCTCAGCCAGCGGACTGTCCGTGTCATTCTCTTTACTGTACAGCATTTGGCACCATTTCTAATTGCATGTTTATTTGTTGGTTTACTTGTTTAAACCCAGTCTCTCCAACTAGATTGAACTCCAGGAAGCCAGGGAACATGTTAGCATTGTATCCGCCATACCTAGCATGTGGGAGGTAATCAACAATTAACTATTGAATGAATGGGTTAGGAAGTCTGAGTTGACTAGCTCATCAGTGATGGACCTTGTGGAAACTCTTTTGCCTTTTCATCCAAATAGGCTCCCCGTTTACTAAAGTTAATCAAACTTGCCCTTGGCCACAGTGTTACCTAGTGAGGAAGTGAGACTTATGAATTCATTGACACTTACTCAAGTATTTCTTAATGTCCACCACACACTAACACTATATAGTGGATTGTGCTAGCTAAACAAAAGAAACAGAAGACCTGGAGTCTGTCTCCACCCCTCTCCTACAGGGACACCAGGCATCTGAGACATACGTAATGACATAGGAGGTTACTAGATGACATGAAGAGGCTATGGTAACTATTTGCCAAAATGAATGACACGCTTCAGGAAAACAGTAAGAGGGAAGCAGACAGACATCAGCTGAGGAGAATCATAAACTCAGGGGCTTTGAGTGAGTGCCCGGGACGAGCAGGGAGTGAAGAGGAAGAACACTATCACCACGGTGCTGGGAAGGGGCAACAAGATCAAGGTGTCCGGGGCCGGGGATTTAGCTCAGTGGTTCCGGTGCCTGCCTCGCAAGCGCAAGGTCCCGAGTTTGATCCCCGGTACCAAAAAAAAAAAAAAAAATCAAGGTGTCTGGAGGGAGGGTTCTGGCAGTGAGAAGGCTGACCTGGTGACAGTCATGCTGGGGAGCACAGGGGAACCTTGAAGAATCCCAGGAAGAGGGGATATGACCATTCTCACTTTCTGATGGATATTACTGTGTGCCTCATGTTTTATCCGTGGTTTACTTTCAACAGTGCTGAATGACCTAAGTAAGTTGAATAAAAAAATTTACAAATGCATAGTTTCATGTCAAAGGAACTGTTACAGAAAGTCCTATCCCCTCCAAATACTTCTAAAGGAAGCCCCAGTGGAGTCTCAAAACATTTCCAAATTTTCAAACAGTTGCAAAGGCAGTTTCAAAACTGTATGTTACATAACTCATATTAGGAAGTAACTAAGATCTTGATCCAAAAAGTCTAATGAAGAGAACACCAAGAGAGAGAAAGAGCCCAAATTATAGGCCTGTCTTATTAAAAAATATAACTTACTAAATCATACATCCTATATAAGAAAAGGAAAATGTTTCAAAAACAAACAAGTATGAGTCACATTCTATGGGGAAATTACCAAGATTGTACAACTAAGACAGAAAAAAATATTTTTAAGTATAAGAACTGTTTGGGTGAGTGCTGAGGTCATTCATTCAATTATTGAATTGATTCAATATTCATTCTTTATAAAAACTCTTCAAACTCAAAAGGGAGGATTTATTCCATACGATTAAAAAAGATTATAGATTTAAAGTGAACTTTGATATTTTTCTGAATGTCTTTGTCCACTGCCTGTTGCTGTAATAGAATACCACAGACTGTGAAATTTATTTTAAAAAAAGGAAATTTCTTTCTCAGCATTCTGGAGGCTGGGAAGTCTGGGATCAAGGTGCCAGCATCCGGTGAAGGTCTGTGTGTGGCACCATAATAAGAAGAGAGCATCAGAAGCAAGAGGCCAGGGGCACAGGTGCTCAGTTCTCTCCTCTTCTTCTTCTAAAGTCACGAATAGCATCACCGTGACTTCACTCTCATGACCTCATCTAAGTCTGATTACCTCCTAAGAATCCCACCTCCAAATGCCATTAACACGTGAACTTGGGGAGAAAATCTCTGAGAGGGAAAAATTCTGAAATAAATCACAAGGGTCAAAGGATGAGGGGAGGAAAGATGAGGGAAGTTAACCTTGGACCAAGCCAGAAAAGACTGCTCCACATTCTTGAACGTACGTTGAAACCTTCACTTCAATCCCACTGTGGCTGCCCTCTTTACCTATAAACATTCAGAGCTTCTCTTTACAAATCACCCTCCTACCCTCCTTTCCCTGCTTTGTGGTATTCTGAATCCACAGCCTGTGTGGAGTCAGTGTAGCAACTTATCCTTTCCTCCCCCAAATTTTTGTAAGAATAAGCTCTGCCCTAGGTCTAGCAGACACTGCCAACTGCTGTGCAGCCCCGCTGCGCAGCTGTGTGAACTTGTCCCAGGACCTGGTACTCTCTTTGGCTAGCATCTCTCACAGCTCAATAAACCCTTTGAAATCAGAGATCTCTCACTCTCAAGAGTTTTAGGTCAGCATTTCCAACACATTTGGGGGACACATTAAAGCCACAACAGATATTTCATAGGAAATCCTAGAGCAGAGCAATCCAATAGGACCTTCTGCGGTGATGGAAATATTTATTTCTGCACTGTCCAATACCACTGGACAAGCTGCAGTACTAGTTGGGAGTGACTAGTCTCATGTGACCATTGAGTACTTAAATGTGGCCAATATGACTGAGGAGCTGAATGTTTAATTTTACTCAAATTGTCATGAGTGGCTATTAGCTGCTATAGTAGACAGCATCATCTTAATAGCTTCGCTTTGAAAACACAGACAGAAATGTACGATGCTTCTCTCAGCACATTCAGGTAATAAAAAACAATGCAGAATAAGATGAAAAAGAATAGAGAATAAATATAGGAAAGACAGACAGAAATATCACTTTTTTGCAGATGATACAACTGAGTAATAGAAAATACAAAAACCAGCTAAATTCATATGCATGATAACAAGTTAGAGAAGGAAACAAATAGTCCTATTCCCAAATCTGAAAAAAAGATGGATACTTAATATCAAGGTAAATAAGGTATCTAGTAAAATAAAAACTATAATGGGAAAAATAAAAGAATACCCAAATAAACAAAGTTATATCCATTGCCCCTGGTTTAGAAAATTCATGGTAATGTCAGTAACATTACTCCATAAACCAAGAAATAGATTAACATAATTAACAATTACATTTCTGCTAGAATACACTAGCAAAATTAATAACAAAAAATGAATACACAATAATACCAAAGAAGATTAGAGGAGGACATAATAATCAAATTTTAAGACATATTATAAAGTGATCTTAATCAAAACTGAATTTTGCTGGATCAAAGCCAGGATAAAGACGTTAATAAAATAGTGATTCCAGAGATAAATTTAAGCACTTATAAGTCCTTAGGATATAGCAAACAAAACAGAACTAAAAATCACAATAATGGATGAAGGAATTACCATTTAATAAATGCTGGTGGAACAACCTGATATCAATATGAAGAAAAGGATATTACATCCATAACTCACCAAATATGCTAATACTTTCCAAATTGGTCAATGAACTAATTAAACATAAAAAGCAATAAAAAGAAAAGATAGCATATTTATCCCAGCCATAGTAGAGATGAATTTATGACTATTGAAAAACTAAATAGTATTATGAGGCTGAAGTAGGTGGATGCAAATATTTTAAAGATACATTTAAAGTCGCCTTAATAAAAAGTAACACCAAATACAAAGAGGGCAAAGAACATTTTAAATTATGATAAGTATCATGGATATTTACAACCCAAAATAGTAATAAAATCTTATGTTGTGACATAAACATATACTGTCACCAGAAACACGGCCCCATGTAACAAATGGCTAAAGAGGAAAAGGACACAAGGAAGTGGCAGCGCTGTGACAGCACTTCGTATGCATTATGCACACTGAGAAATGTACCTGATAAGCCAACACAGGCAGGGGTTTAGTCTCACTAATAATTAAAGAAGTATGAATCAGAATACAGATGATCCCCAACTTAAGGTTTTTTGATTTTACGAAGATGCCAAAATGATATGCATTTAGTGGAAATTCTTTTCTTTTTCGTGGTACAAGTGATTAAACCCAGGTCCTTCACACTGAGCACATAGCAAGCAATAAATAGATGTTCCCTATTAGCATCCTCCTCCCCAACCACTGAAAGCAAGCAAGTCTTGGGCTCTGAACCTGAGCCTAGAAAATAACCCTCATGTCAAGGAGCTTTGCACTCTATCATCGGGTGGAAACATCCCT